ATTTTGTCTAATATATTGGGTAATATGAGTGTAATGGTGACTAAAGAGTGTTATTTCATGTCTAGAGGGCTCTAATAATGTTAAAAAACATATTTAGAAGGTCGTAAACAGTTTTTCTATGCTCTAACTGCGAAAATATTTGATTTATAAATGAATCCTACTTCATGGAAATTCATTTATCGCGGTAGAGTCTGGAACTGATTAACCGCGAAAAACGAGGGCCAACTGTATATATGTACCAACTTTTTTATCCACTTGCAAAATGATGGACACTTGGATTGTTTCCATATCTTGGCTATTGTAAATAATACTGCAATAAACATAGGGATGCGTATATTCTTTTGAATTAGTGTTTTGGGTTTCTTTGGATAAGTACCCAGAAGTGGAATCACTGGGTTATAAAGAAGTTCCATTTTTAATTTTTTGAGCATCTTCCATACTGTTATTGCTATTATTTTTTAATGCCATGAATGTAAAAAAGGAAATAAATTAACTTTGTTGTCACACAGTGCTCTACTTGCTCTAAGATGGAAAAAAGTCATTCAAATTCTTTACACACTCTCCCCCCTTTCCCACTCTTTACTCCTCAAGTGCCCTCTCCAATGGGATTTACCCAAATAAGGAGAAAAATTAAAGATCATTCTCAGGAATTCCCTGCCATCCTTCTAGCTTCCATATATAAATTTCTGGGTTTCTGCAAAGAAAATACTTACTATGATGTTTAGTTGTAACCTTCACAAAGAGTCTAGAAAGTAGCCTATCAGGCTTTGTCTGAGGTATACATATAATTTGGGCTAGTTTACCTTGCCGAGTCATTTGTTAGACTAATTAGATATATCACTCTACACTGAACCATAAAAGTAATATTCTTGTAAACCCATGCAATTTTTAAATCCAAGGCTGTATAACATAAGACCTTAAGGGAAAAGCAAGATCAAGGGAATCTTATTTTTAAGATAAGACTAAAGAGACAGAACTCTTAACATTCTTTTTAATTACAGAGAATATCTCTTTTATACAAGTTCGTGTTAAAAATATCACATGATTAATTTGTCTTTATCATCTCTCACTCTAGAAACTGTTAAGAATTATTCTCACTTACACCCTAAACTTTTAAATGATGCTGATAAATTGGGTTACTTTCTGAAGCACTCTTTCCCTGGAGCTGGTTCTCTAATCAATGTTATTCTGATTTCACAACTTAGTGTTTTATCGTACTCCTCTGTCCCACTGAGATGCCACAGTCCTTTTCAATAATAATAGCTAAAATTTATGAAGAACATACTATGTGCCGGGAACTATTCCCCATGTGTTGTATAGTTTCTCACTTCATGTCACAATAAAACTATGAGTAGGATTCTATTACTGCCATTTTACAGCAGAATAAACTGAGGTTCAGAGTTAAAGGAACTTGCTCAAAGTCATGAAGCTAGTCAATGGTAAGATCCATACCCTGACTCCAAAGCCAAGTTCTAAATGATAATCTTCTGCTAATGCTCTGCTCCTCCCACAGAAGAGGTGGGAGAACAGTAATGGAATCTAGGATGACTTCTGTTTCTTAAGACAACAATGAAAAGAAATCTCTATTCCTGTTGCACCTGCTACTTTTTTCTAATTATAACCAAAAGGGCAAACATGAATACTCTGGAACCAAAATATGTATTGCTATAGAAAAGTATATTCATCTAAATCCATATATAACAGTATAATTCTGTCAATTTTATGTAAAAATCAATTCAACAAATACTTATTGAGAACTATGTTCTACATGCTTGGGATAAATCAGAGAATAAGACAGGTTAGGAATACTTCCTTAGTAGAGGTTTCTAATACGGACAATAGATAAAATAAAAATAAGTATATTATGTGGTATACTAACTAGAAGGTAAAACCCTTGTAAAAAAATTTTTTTTTAATGTTTCATTTGAGGGGAGGGGAGTTGGCAGTACCAGTGGGAGTGAGGGAAAACTGCACTGTTAAATGGGGTGATTGTGAGTTGCTAATAAGCAAATCTTAGCAAAGACTTAAAGATGATGAGGGTTTGAAGGAGGTGAATAATAGCAAGTGGGATCCAGGGGAAGAGCATTCTAGGTAGAAGAAACAGTTATTAACTTAAGAGTATGGTTAGAGCAGAGAAAGCAAGCAAGAGGAGTAGTAAGAGAGAAATTAGTTTATGATGCAATAGGCAGCAGATCAGGTAGGGTCTTATAAATCACTGTAAGGACTTTGGCTTTCAAGAAGTAAAATAGGGGTACAAGGTTTTAAGCAGAAAAATGATGTGATCTGACCTTGGGCTACTATGATGAAACTATATCAAGAAAGACAAAAACAGCCCTGGTCAGGTAGCTCAGTTGGCTGGAGTGTTGTCACATACACCAAAGGTTGCAGATTTGATTCCCAGTCAGGGCACACGTCAAGGTTGTGGGTTCAATCCCCAGTTGAGGCACGTACAAGAAAACTTACCAGTGTTTCTTGCTCACATTGATGTTTCTCTCTCATATCAATGTTTCTCTCTCCCTCTTTCTCAAATCAATTAAAAAGAAAAAAACATATCCTTAGGTGAGGATTAAAAAAAAAAAGAAAACAAAAGCAGAAGCAAAGAAATGAATGAAAAGGCTACTGCAATAATCAAGGGAAAAACAATAGTTTAGATGAGGTTAATGTTTGAAAGTAAACAACTTCCTGACAGATTGAGTATGGGGTATGAAAAAGAGCAAAATTCTTGGCCTAAGCAACTATTAAGAGACAATGCCCATGAACTGAGATAGTAAAGACACAGAGTATTTTAGAAGTGGGAGATGAGATAATGAGATCTTTCTGGACATGGTCAATTTGAAAGCTAAGTAAAAAAAGTGTATTTAAGGAGGAGAGTGAGCACCTATATCAAATGCTTCTGACAGGTCAAGTAAGACAAAGACTCAAACTCACCACCGCATTAAACAATTTAAGTCACTGTAAACTTGATTTCTTTTTTTTTTTTTTTATCCTCACCCGAGGATACTTTTCCATTTTTTGTACAGATAGAGTGGGAGGGAGAGAGAGAGAGAAACATCGACGTGAAGGGACACATCGAGTGGCCGCCACCCGCACGACCAACCAGGGCCAGGGACAAACTGCAACCGAAGTACGTGCCCTTAGCGGGAACCGAACCCGGGTCTCTCCGGACCGCAGGCTGACGCTCTAACCGCTGAGCCAAACTGGCCAGGGCACTTGATTTCTTTTGAGGTGTTTTGACACAAAGCAAAAATACTCGGGCAACTTGGGCCAAGACAACCTAAATAAGATTTCATTTGCTGCCCACCACAAGAAAGAGTATGGAGCCCTGACTGGTTTGGCTCAGCAGTAGAGCATGGGCCCGCGGACCAATGAGTCCCGGGTTCGATTCTGGCCAAGGGCACGTATTTTGGTTGTGATTTGTCTCTGGCCCTGGTCGGGGTCGTGAAGGAGGCAACCAGTCAATGTGTCCCTCTCATGTTGATGTTTCTCTCTCTCTCCCTCTCTCTCTACCTGAAGATAAATAGAAAAATATCCTCAGGCGAGGATAAAAAAAGAATGGAGTTTGACTTTTACCAAAAAAACTGACAGATTTAAAAAAAAAATCAATACTCAGAAGACCATAACAGAGTCTCTACAACCTATCATTAAAAATGTCTAATACATAATCTCACATTACCAGACATTCAAAGAAACAAAAAAATTCAACTCAACATACTTTAGAATTAGCAGTCAAGCATTTTTAGAGTACATATATCATAATTATGCTCAAAGATATATATATTAAAAATGTGTTGAAAAAAGAGGAAATTTCATAAAATAAAACCTATATACAAAAAACCAAATGGAAATTCAAAAAAAAAAAAAAAAATCTGAAATAAAAACAAATTTACTGAATGGATTTAACAGCAGACTAAAGATGACAAAAGAGTCAAGTGAAAAGTCAAAAAAAAAGTATCTATCCTACCTGAAGAAAAAAACAAAAGATTTGAAAAAAATAGAGCCTCAGAAATCTGTGGGATAATACCAAAGTGCCTAAAATACATGAAACTGAAATCCCATAAGGAGAGAAAAGACAAATGGGGCAGGAAAAAGGTTGAAAGCAACAATGGGCCAGATTTTCCCCAAAACTGTTTCAAGAAAAAATAAAGAAAAGGCCAAAAACATAACTTTAAAAATTCAAGAAGCCCAGCAAATCTCAAGCAAGACAAACAGGAAGAAAACCATAACTAGGCACATCATAGTTAAATGTTTAAAAACCAAAGGCAAAAAATAATAATAAAAGCAGTCAGAGAAAAATGAGTTAGCATATACACAGGAAAAAACAATATATGTATGCTGACTTCTCATCAAAAACGATGGAAACAGTCCCTGGCTGATTTGGCTCAGCGGTTAGAATGTCGGCCTGCGGACCAGAGAGTCCCCGGTTCAGTTTCCGCTAAGGGCAGGTACCTCGGTTGCAGTTTGTCCACGGCCCTGGTTGGGGTCATGTGGGTGGCGACCAATCAATGTGTTTCTCTCTCTCTCTTCCTCTCTTCTCCCTCCTACTCTATCTGAAGATAAATGCAATAATGTCCTCAGGATAAAAACAACAACAACAACAACAACAAAAACAATGGGAACAGGAAGATTGTGGGGTGACATCTTTAAAGTGTTGGGGAAAAAACTCTCAACACAGCATCCTATATATCTAGTGAAAATATCCTACTGGAATAGAATGAAATAAACACATTTCAGATACAGAAGAAGATCTGCACCAAAGAAAAACTAAAAGAATTTCTACAGGTAGAAGGCAAGTGCAGTAAGATGGAAACTTGGTTCCTCAGGAAGAAATCAGAGCAACAAAAGTGATAAATGGGTAAAAATAAAAGATAATTTTTCCTCTTAATACATTTAAAATACACACAATCTAACTGATAGCTTAGTTTAATGATAAATCAAACTCAGAAGTAGTCTCTCCTTTCTAACCAACCCCTACCCCCAGTATTTATAGAAAAATACAATACCTGTTTTAGTTTCAAAAAGAAATTTTCAGTAGTACTACGTTTGCTGAAGGGCCAGAATAACCTTTCATTAGGTGAGCAAACTCGGACTTTTGTCTCTAGGAGAAATCGAACAGGCTCCTGTACTTCTGTTATTACCAAATCAACAGCTGTGGTCATAAACAACACTTTATCTAGAGAGAGGAGAAGCAAATAAAAAAAATAAAAATATTTTTGCTCATATGATTAATATAAAAGTAATTACATTTATTATGAACTTTTAAGATATCTGAATAAGGTAATTCATTAACTAAGAATCTAAAATAATCAAATAAATTGCTGTATTGAGAATTTATTTTCCTCATTGAGAACTCTTTTCTTGGATAGATTCTTTGAAGTGGAGTTAGTACATGAGAGCAGTATACACTTTACAACATATAAAATGTACTGTTGAACTATTTTATAATAGTGACATATAGATTCTTTATGCCACTTTCGCCAAGACTGGGATTTCTCAACTTTTAATCTTGGTTAACCATAGTAACTATTTATAGCCTTTATCCATTTACCTATAATGCTATGAATAATAAGAAAAAATGAAGGGGAAAAAAAATAAATGCTCAATAAGAGGCACTAGTTAAATAAATATTACATTTTCAGGATAGGACATTATCCAGCCATTAAGTGACATATGGTGGAGGTGCACACTTGAAACTTGTATGAGCCTATTGACCAATGCCACCCCAATAAATTTAATTGGGAAAAAAAGACATTTGGGAAAAATATGAAATACTTTGAAAAAGTTTATTTATGCAAAAAAATATCTAAAAAGCTACACAAGAAAATGGTCACAGTGGTACCCTATGGAGTGAGGCCCTGGGGACTGTGGTAGATTTTTACTTTTCTCTATATACCCTTTGAATTTTTAATCATATGTACATATATTATCTCTCCAAAAAAATAAATAAAATTTAGACACCTGTAAATGAATGAGTACGTAAGTAAAAAAAAGCAGGGAAAGAAAAACTGAGTGGGGAGAAATGATACTTTGTTTACATATCAAACTTAATAACAAACTCAACTATTAAAAGTCTTTGGATTCACCAGAATTAGGTAAGCAATGGATACTTGTCAATTAAGTGGTCCTAAGGTTTAGGTATCTTCTTGAGACTAACATTTCTGTCCCTGATGTCAGCAATCCTCATTACCTTTAGGAGTTTCTTCATTTACAATTTGAAAATGTGGGGATTTTGGATTCCAGCTCCCAGTGATAACATAAGACTTTCCATCTGAACTTTTGCCCATAGATTCCTAAAGAAAAGAGTAAAATAAACATTAATGTCAAAGTAAGGAAACAGCAGCAAACTCCCACTTCGCTGCTTTCAAAATTAGGAGTTGCAAAAATGTAAGAATATGAAAAAGAACCAGATGTTTTTTTTTTTTAATCCTCACCCGAGGACATTTTTCCTTTTTTTTTTTTTTTTTTCAGATAGAGTCGGGAGGGGGAGAGAGAGAGAGAGAAACATCGAGTGAAAGGGACACATCGAGTGGTTGCTACCTGCACTACCCAACCAGGGCCAGGGACAAACTGCAACCGAGGTACATGCCTCTAATGGGAACCTAACCCAGGTCTCTGGACCTCAGGCCGATGCTCTACTGCTGAGCCAAACCGGCCAGGGCCAGATTTTTTTTTTTTTTTAAAGGTCAGAGTGTATTTGAATAATTACAGTTAAAATTAAAGATATGCCAATTTTTTTATGCAATTGTTCTTGAAAACTCAGTCATAAGGTAAATGCTTATAAATCATATCAACCTGTATAAACATTAGAGAAATTTACTAACTAAACCTGTATGCTGAATTCTTCTGTCAAGTGAGTAACTTACTACATAGATTTTAGTTTTGAAAATATTTCATATACTAATACTGCCTATATTTATAAAGTTGTTGATAGTTTTCAGACAATTCTCTTACAACTTTTCTCCTTTGATTCCCACATCAATCCCACATGATAAACAATTATTCACTAACATATAGTCAAGAAGCTAGTAAATATGTCAGAAATAAATGCCCTTATCTTTATTGCTTTATAGCTTACAAGAACACATTCATAGATATGCTTTAATTTTAGATTCATATGAGATAAAGTAAAGCAACTTATTGACAAAATAGTGTATAACTTAGAAAAAGAAAAAAAAATCCTTACCAAATCTAACAAATGCATGTCACTATTTCGTACATCTTTTCCTGGGCTAAGAAGAAGACCAAAACACCTGCAAAGAAAGAACTGACATAAATTTGGAAAAAAGAACACAAAAAGATGTTTAAATTAGGTCACGTAAAAAATTTTTTACTGATGGAAAAAAGAACACACTAAAATTATCAATAAATTAGTATTGCCAAAATAATCCCCTCACTTTTATAATTCAAATAAGTAAATTCTATGTTTGCCTTTTATTATCACATAAAGTCAGCGTATTTATGAAAGATTTATGGGCGTTAATTCAAAGTGAATGAAGTAGGCCCTGGCCAGGTAGCTCAGTTGATTAGAGCACTGTCCTGATACACCAAGGTTGAGAATTCAATCCCTGGTCAGGGCACACAGAGGTAGCAACCAATGAAATTAGTGGAACAACAAACATCTCTCTCCCCCAAAATATCTTTTAATTCTTTCTCCCCCTTTTTAAAAAAACATGTTTTCATTCATTTTTTTTTTTTTTTAAGTAAGAGAAAGGGAGAGAGATATAGAAACATCTATGTGAGAGAATGATTGATTGGCTGCCTCCTGCATGTCCCCTACTGGGGATCGAGCCCACAACCCGGGCATGTGCCCTGACTGAATATCTTACAAGTACCTCACAGTCCATGGGACAACGCTCAATCCACTGAGCCACACCAACCAGGCTATAAAGAAAAAAATTTTAATTAAAGAAAAATCAAAATGAATCAAGTAGCCACTTGAATAACCAAAAGAATTCCCAAAGGAACAAAATATTTGCAAATACATTTTTTTCTTAAATCCTCACCCAAGGATACGTTTTTATTGATTTTTAGAGGGGGTAAAGAGGGAGATGGAGAAGTAGGGAGGGGGGGAGAGAGAGAGAGAAAGAGAAATATCAGTTGCCTCCCATATGTGCCCCAGCCAGGGATCAAACCCGAAACCTAGGTATGTGCCCTCACCGGGAATCAAATCCGAAACCTTTAGGTGTATGGGATGATGCTCCAATCAAGTCACCTGGCACAAATACATTTTTGAATAGTGTAGATTACTCCACTAGATTGATAAAAACTAAAATTTACATTTAAGCTAACCTTACAAAAATGTTTACCTTTCAATGGCAAGTTCTTTATTAGTTGTTTGTTGCACATAGATGACAATCTTCTTATCAATTCCTTGGCGTAGTTTAAAGCATTGTCTGTCCTTATCTTTAGGAACTGCACTGTAGAACAACATATTTCATTAATTTTGCAAAGTATTTTCTTGTGACTTATACCAGAACAATTTTTGTTACGAAAACCAGGCACAAAAAAGAATCAGACTCAATTCTTTTCTGTATCTGGTTTTCAAATTATAACAGATTTTCTAGACCCCTTTACTAACACTCTTTGATTTAAAAAATCTCAGTGTTATAAAATGTCCTTGAATTGATTACTAAGTAAATGTAGAGGAGCTTCAAACTAATTTTATTTCTCCAAAGCCATTTTTCAGTTTGAATAGGTACTAGAGCTAATTAATGCTTCTGTTGCCTTTTTCTTGAAGGAGTAAATAAGACATCATTTAAATTTGTTGCATATCGGCTGCACCTGACTCTTGAGGTGAAACTATCACTGTTACTGTATGTAATCCACTAAACCATCTGTAAAAACTACTCCTTTGTCCTCTAAAATATGGTTTAGGTTTTTTCCTTTTTGTTCTTGTAAAAATTATATATTTGTAAAGTACCTAGCATACAGTACACAGCTGCTCAAAAAATGTTAGTTTTCTTTCTAGTCACTGGTTTTGACAAATAAATTATTATTGCTTTATTTGTTTAAATATATAAGGAAAGATATTTAGCCATAGATACTTTAAATTTCAAAACAGGTGACTTAAAAAATCAGAGAAAAAGGAGATATGACCAACAGGAAGCTGTTGCCTATCACTTCCTAAAGCAGCAATAAGGTAATTGTAAATCTGTATACATTCTTACCTCATTTTATTGCACATTGTTTTATTGTGCTTTGTAGATAATGAGTTTTTTACAAATTGAATGTTTGTGGCAACACCGCATCAAGCAATTCTACTGGCACCATTTTTCCAAACGCATTTGTTTACTTTTTGTCAGTGTGTCACATTTTGATAACTCTTATAATATTTCAAATTTTTTCATTATTATTATTATATTTGTTATGGTTATCTGTGATCAGCAATCTTTGATGTTACTATTTTAATTGTTTTGGGACACCACATATAAGATGGTAAACATCATCAATAAATGTTATGTGTGTTCTGACTGCTCCACCAACTAGCCGTTCCTGTCTGTCTCTCCCCTGACCCCCCAAGACTATTTCCTAAGACACAACAATACTGAAATTAGCCCCATTAATAACCCTACAGTGACCTCTAAGAGTTGAAGTAAAAGGAATAGTCCCAGTCTCTCACTTTAAATCAAAAGTTATAAATGATTAAGCACAGTGAGGAAGGCATGTTGAAAGCTGAGGCAGGCTAAAACCTAGGCCTCTTGCACCCAAAAGTTAGTCAAATTGTGAATGCAATGGAAAAGTTCCTGAAAGAAATTATAAGTGCTACTCCAGTCAACACATAAGAAAGTGAAACAGCTTTATTGCTGATATGGAGAAAGTTTAGGAGTCTGGATAAAATATTAAGCAACCACAACATTCCCTTAAGCCAAGGCCTAATCCCAAGCAAGGCCTTAACTCTGTTTAAACATGTAAAGGCTGACAGAGGTGGGAAAGCTGCAGAAGAAAAGTCTGAAGCTGGCAGAGGCTGGTTCATGAGGTTCACAGAAAGAAGCCATCTCCATAACAAAAGTGGTAGATGAAGCTGCAGCAAGTTATCCAGAAGATCTAGCTAAGATAATTAAGGAAGGTAGCTCCACTGAACCACAGATTTTCAGTGTAGATGAAAACAGCCTTATTATTGGAAGAAGGTGCCATCTAGGGCTTTCATAACTAGAGAGGAGAAATGAATGCCTGGCTTCAAAGCTTCAAAGGACAGGCTGACTCTTGTTTGGGACTAATGCAGCTGGTGACTTCAAGTGGAAACCAATGCTCATTCCCATTCCAAAAACCTTAGGGTCCTTGGGGTGAATGCCCATAAATCTGAATATACTGTAACTGAGAAGAAAGCTCTGAGTGTACCTGTGTGCGCTTTGGGTGAGAAAACAGCAAAAAGATGAGCTAAAAACTTAAAAGCAAACAAACAAAAAACCTTAGGCCCTTAAGAATTATGCTAGCCCTGGCCAGTGTGGCTCAGTTGGTTAGAGAACCGTCTCGAGCAACAAAACGTCACAGGTTTGACCCCCAGTAAAGGCACAGTCAGGTTGTGGATCCAATTCCCAATCGAGGTGCATACGGGAGGCAATCAGTTGATGTTTCTGTCTCATGATGTTTCTCTCTCTTCCTTTCTCTCTCTCTAAAAGAAAAAAGAATAATGCTAAATCTACTCTGTCTGTACTCTGTAAATAGAACAACAAAGCCTAGATTAACAGTACATTTGTTTATAACATGGTTCACTGATTATTTTAAGCGCAATGTTGAGATCTCCTGCTCAGAAAAAATATTTCAAAATATCACTGCTCATTGACATTGCACCTGGTCACCCAAAACCTCTGATGAAGATGTACAATGTACAAAGATTAATACTGTTTTCATGCCTATGAACATAACATCCATTCTGCAGTCCATGAATCAAAAGTAATTTCAACTTTAAAGTTTTATGATTTAAGAAAACATATTTCATAATATGTTTATAGCTGCCACAGGTAGTGATTACTCTGATGGATCTGGGTAAAATAAATTGAAAACCTTCTGGAAAGAATTCGCTATTCCAGATCTATTAAGAACATTCATGATTCAAGGGAAGAAGTCAAAATATTAATTTCAACAGGAGTTTGAAAAAAGTTAATTCCAACCTTCCTGGATGACTTTGAAGGGTTCAAGACTTCAGTGGAAGAGGTAACTGCAGATGAGGTGGAAATAGTAAGAGTATTAGAAGTAGAACCTAAAGATGTGACTGAATTGCTGCAACCTCATGATAAAACTTTAATCAATAAGGAATTGCTTCTTATGGATGAGCAAAGAAAGTGGTTTCTTGAGATGGAATCTACTCCTAGTGAAGATGCTATGAAGACTGTTGAAATGACAACAAGGGATTTAGAACATTACATAAACTAAGGTAAAGCAGTGGCAGGATTTGAGAGGCTATCTCCAATTTTGGAAGAAGTTCTATTGTGGGTAAAATGCTATTAAACAGCATGGCATGCAATAGAGAAATTGTGGAAGAAGTCAAGGTTGCAACAGAATTCACTGTTGTCTCATTTATTTATTTTTAATTTTTTTTCCTTTATTGATTTTTTTTATCCTTACCCGAGGACATTTTTCCATTTTTTGTTCAGATAGAGCGGGAGGGAGGGAGAGGAAGAGAGAGAAACATTGACGTGAAGGGGACATCGAGTGGCCGCCACCTGCACGACCCAACCAGGGCTGGGGACAAACTGCAGCCAAGGTACATGCCCTTAGTGGGAACCGACCCGGGTCTCTGTGGACCGCAGGCTGACGCTCTAACCGCTGAGCCAAACCGGTCAGGGCTCCTTTATTGCTTTTGAGAGAGAGAGAGAGGGAAGTGAGAGGGAGAGAGAGATAGAAACATCAATGTGAGAGAAACATCGATCAGCTGCCTCCTGCATGCTCCCCAGTAGGGATTGAACTCACAATCCGAGCATGTGCCCTGACCGGTAATTGAACCGGAACCTCTCAGTCCGTATGAGGATGCTCAATCCACTGAGCCACACTGGCTGGGCAACAATAAAGTACTTTTAAATTAAAGTATGTATATTTTTTTTCCCTGCCAGTGTGGTTCAGTGGTTGGTCGTCGCTGGTTCGATTTCCGGTTGGGTCACATGCCCAGGTTGTGGTCCCCAGTGGGGGGCGTGTGGGAGGCGACCAGTTGATGTTCTCTCTCACTGATGTTTCCATCTCTCTCACTCTCCCTTCCTCTTTCTCTAAAAAAAAATCAATAAAGAAAAACAGTATGTAGATTTTTTAGACATAATGGTATTGCATACTTTGACAACAGTATAGTACAAACATGACTTTTACAGGGTCTGGTAAGCCAAAAAAAAAAATTGTGACTTTTATTGTAATATTCAGTTTATTTAGCCCTGGCCAGTTTGGCTCAGCGGTTAGAGCGTTGGCCTGCGGTCCGGAGAGACCCGGGTTCGGTTCCCGCTAAGGGCACGTGCATTGGTTGCAGTTTGTCCCCGGCCCTGGTTGGTCGTGCGGGTGGCAGCCACTCGATGTGTCCCTTCACGTCGATGTTTCTCTCTCTCTCTCCCTTCCTCTCTCTCCCTCCCACTCTATCTGTACAAAAAATGGAAAAATATCCTTGGGTGAGGATAAAAAAAAAAAAAAAAAGTTTATTCACTTTATTGCAATGGTCTGGAATGGAACCTGCATTATCTCTGAGGCATGTCTGTAATTTTAGAAATAATAATGATATAGTTTAAATAAGCTTAAGAAAAAAGTTGAAAATATTCTTAAAATGACATTTTACCAAAATAATCCTCTAGTTTCCCACACAACACTTTTAGCTCCTTTGTTCTTAAAGGCAAACATCTGCCTATGGGGCAATCAGCCAATATGCAGCAAATCTAAATGGTGTCATAGTACTGTATACCTTCAAGAAAGTGGCAACAGAACCATTAAAAGATACTATAAAAGGGTACATGAAAGTTCTGAGTACCTACTCAAACTAAAAAGTGGCTCTGAAGAAATAAAATTAATTTGAAGCTCCTCTATATTTACATAGTAACCAATTTAAGAACATTTTATAACATTGAGGTTTTTTTAAAAATCAAAGAATCTTGGCAAAGGAGTCTAGAAATGACAAATATGTACAAAGGAAAACTTTTGCATACCAAACTGTTAAATATTTGTGGCTGACAAAATTTTCATCTCTAATGATATACATAGGTCTCAATTTTCAACTGGTAATAGGTTACACTAGTTCTCTATGTTAAGTGGATACCGAAACGTAAATAAACATTCAGTTGACTCTTGACCAAGGTGGGCACATTAAGGATGTGAAACACCTGCCCACGTACAACTTAAGCAGACCCTCTGTACATGTAGAGTCCCAATATGGATCAAAAATACTGTTTTTGGCCCTGGCCAGTTTGGCTCAGTGGTTGGAGCGTCAGCCTGCGGTACAGAGAGACCTGGGTTCGGTTCCCGCTAAGGGCACGTACCTCGGTTGCAGTTTGTCCCCGGCCCTGGTTGGTCGTGCGGGTGGCAGCCACTCGATGTTTCCCTCTCTCTCTCTTCCTCTCTCTCCCTCCCGCTCTATCTGAACAAAAAATGGAAAAATGTCCTCGGGTGAGGATAAAAAATATACTATTTTTGATTTATAGTTGTTGTACCCATGGATGCAAAACCAGGTGACAGGTGGGCTGTTATGTTTATTGAAAAATATCTGTATATGAATGGACCCACACAGTTCAAACCCATGTAGTTCAAGGGTCAGCTGAAATCTCATCTCTCAGTAGCACTGAAAATATCAACAATAAAAATAAAGTTGTCTTTGGTGTCCTGAGTCTGAAGGGCAAGGAAAAGCCACATTAACTGGAAGCAGAGTGTAGAGTGTAAGCAGTGGAAGTTTACTCACAGATCTCAAGAGATCTAGATTATAATTTTGGTCTTGTTACTATATCACTGAGTGGATTCAACCAGCTAATTTTACATTTAATTCCTATTTTATAAATTAAAAAAACTGAGGTCCAGGTTTAACTTCATTGGGTTTTTTTTTTTTTTTTTTATCCTCACCCGAGGATATTTTTCCATTTTTTGTACAGATAGAGTGGGAGGGGGAGAGAGGAAGGGAGAGAGAGAGAGAAACATCGACGTGAAGGGACACATCGAGTGGCTGCCACCCACACGACCAACCAGGGCCAGGGACAAACTGCAACCGAAGTACGTGCCCTTAGCGGGAACCGAACCCGGGTCTCTCCGGACTGCAGGCCGACGCTCTAACCGCTGAGCCAAACTGGCCAGGGCTTCATTGGGTTTTTTAACATACAAAACAAGGACAATATTAAGTACCCAGCCTATAGCCCTGGTCGGTTTGCTCAGCGGATAGAACGTTGGCCTGTGGTCCAGAGAGACCCGGGTTCGGTTCCCGCTAAGGGCACATACCTCGGTTGCAGTTGGTCCCTAGCCCTGGTTGGGTCGTGCGGGTGGCAGCCACTCGATGTGTCCCTTTCACGTCGATGTTTCTCTCTCTTCCTCTCTCTCCCTTCCGCGCTAGCTGAACGAAAAATGAAAAAATGTCCTCGGGTGAGGATAAAATAAATAAATAAATAAATAAATAAATAACTAGCCTAACTAATGGGGTTAGATTAAAAAAGACAGAAAAGAAGTTTTGATTGGTATCGGTAAAATGTTCCACCTTCCTAAGGGCTAAAGTGAAAGGCATGTTTCTGGTTTTAATGATGTAATAATGTAAGAATCATACTTTTTCAGGAATGAAAGAAAGAGCATTGATCCTTGCCACAAGCAGTTTGCCTATATTTATGTTATGGTAAAACCACATGGTAGAATGAATGGATAAGGGGAACTGTGTTTGACATGTTCAAATTGGACAGAGAATACTTTTCAATGATTAAATCATTATGTTACACAACACTATTCTCTACGATAAGCTACAAATTCAGGGAGAAAAATGCAATAAAAAGAGAGCAAAGCCCTAACAAATGTGACAAGCAAATCTGACCATCCAGAAATTTTCTGTATAACATCTCCTTGGCATGAAAGTAAACAGAATAAGGATGTTTGTAATTGTAATCATTCTACCTTGATTGCAGTAGGAAGTTATTCTAGTGCTTCTCTTCTGAGTTATTTTAGAAATCTTTCCTGTTCCTAAGTAGAATTTGTAACAGAATCTACATAAATATCTTTAATAAAGGAAAATAATGTAGTTAAATTTTTTGTTTCTTGAAAAGGAAAAAAAATTATTACAAAGTTCATAGGGCAGGAATGCGTAATGCAGGAAGCACCAGGACACAGTTTTGCTCTGAGAATATAAATAAAGCTAAAGAGATAGCACAGAGCACCATGCCTCATACGTCTCAACAAAGTGGAAGCTGCATTATACCCCAAATTGGCCACCAGATGGCATGACAATTCCAAAGTCTTTGAAGGGAGACTAGTAAGAATGATTAGTTTTCCAAATGAATTAGTGCCATAGTGCCTTTTGATTTAAAAGCAAAATATTAGAAGTAAATATTTTGATGAAATTTCACTTTATCCATTTTATGAAGTAGTTACAGAGAAAAGAGACTTCTATATGCAACTATCGATTACAATCCCAACAGGCACCCATTTTATGATATGGGCTATGGAGAAAAAAATCCAGTCATCTTGCGACCATAATATTTTACTTTAAAGTTAGAAAGGATCCTAGTCCATCCACCTCATTTTATAAGTAAGGAAGCTACTGCCAGGAAATGTAAAGAAACTTGGGAAAGCTCACAGTTAATATTAGCAATAATTGAACTAAACCTAAGTTTTTATTTCTTTTAGATAGATCCTTTTACTACTCAAAAAAGTTTCATTTTACTTATAAACCCAAACCATTTATTTCTGACCTTATATGCAAGCTTAGACTTCAGACACACACCTCATTTGTCTCCTTCCAACATGTTCCGATAAACTTTAGTGGTAAAACTTGATTTCGACAGCCTTAAGATCTTTAGATTAAAAAATACATAAACAAACCCACCAATACCAAAACAAAACCACCAGCAAAACAAATCCAGCTATAAATCCAGCTGACTTACCTTCTGACATTATCTGATAGTAACACTGTTATCTGATAACATCATGACATTTTCCCACGTGAATTTTTAAAATTCTTTAAATGTTACTTCTTCAAACCTGCCTACTTCTTTTCCTTTATCACTTAACATTAAAAAAATTAACTCCACTATAACAGCAATCATTTTATAGTGTGAAAGTTATATAATCTGACCTGGAGCTTCCCTTGAACCACAGATAATACAGCATATTAATACAATCTCAAAAACAAAAATAAATAAATAAAATAAGATGCCCTACCTAAAATAACCTTTACCATCATCTTCTTTAATTTCTAAAGACACAGAGAAGGTAAAGATGTCACTGTCAGGAGTCTGGGGTGCAGCAGTGGCTGAAAGTGGGGTCTGCTTGGCAGAACGGCGGAAGGCAGTGGCAAAACTGTAAAGTATCCGGCTTACCTACAACCAGATATGTTAGGAAACAGACTGTTATCATAGAAAATACAATACTGTTATCATAGAAAATACAATACTTTTATTAAGGCTGAAGGTTACCTACTCTGTTGCAGGGAGTAATTCTTTTTTCCCCTATGGATAATTTTGGTACGATATTTAAAGTGTGTAACATGGTAACTTGATATAAACATACATTGCGAAAGGATTCCCCCATTGATGAATTAACACATCCACCACCTCAAGTTATCTTTTTTCCCTTGATGAGAACATTTAAGTTCTACTCTCTCAACAAATTTTAATTGTACAACAGTTTTATCCCCTATGGTCACCAGGTTATACATCAGATCCTTGAACCTTATTCATCTTATACACAGATGAAAATTTGTACTTTTTTACCAAGCTATTTCCCCTGTCCCTAGTCCCCAGGGAACCTCTCTTCTACTCTGTTTCTATGAGTTTGACTTTTATATTACTTAGATTTCCCATTGTAATCTTTTGGTAAATTATCTCATTTGTTATGCCTAAAAAACAAACAATACTAAATGGCCAGTGATGGGGTTTTAAAAAAGAAATGGTTGTAAACACTAAAAATACAACTGAAATTTTTTCTAAATTGTTAGAAACTATCTGAATACATTTATCACAATAAAAATAATTACAAAAGTTTAGCTCTAGAAGAATAGTTTGCAAATGTTTCCTTGCTAGTACCAAGATGCCTATTTAACCCAAACAAGAAGCAGCCAACTGGTCTCCTCTGACACTCTTAGCAACAAGGTTTTGGTTAACCAAACTTTTAGTTTATTCATATTTCAGTCCATCGGGCTGAAATAAACAAAACACTTGCAGAGAATTTCATTTGGCTTATATGTGACCATAATAAATACTAGAATCATTTCAAAACAGCGAGAGTAAAGGTGAAATTTCATTTGCACAGAGTATTCTCTTAAGGACTTACAGCTTCTTGTATTTCACACCGGAAGACATGTATCCTGAAGAGCTCTGCATTGTAATGACTTTCAGTGAAAGCAAAACAGTCACTCTCAGGAGTTCCATCATGCCCTCTGACACAGAAGAGGATTTTGTAGATAGGGTAGTTTGCTATTTCAGTGTTTGTCTGAGGATCTAAGAGTCTGTCCAGGAAAAAAAAAGATATAAAGAGATTGGAGGGATTATGGACTATTTTCACTACATCCATATTGTGATTTGAGACACATCTTTCCAACAGGAAGTTCATATAAACCTTTTGTGAAATTAGCGAACCACATTAATTTTAAGTCTTAATAATTAAGTCATATGTGGATTCTTGAAGTTACTGATTACATAATTCCAAGGTATTAAAAACTACATAATCCCTATGTTTTAGGAAGGAAATCAGGAAGTCACAAATAATATCAGTAAGTACGTTTCTTATATAATCTGTAACTAAAGACTAGAATAATGAGTAAATTAGACTATCAAAATAGATCATTAAAGATGTGCTTCTCATTATCTCCTAAGAATGACCTAATCAGCTTTATTATTTAAAAGAATAAAAAGCTGATGTGTCTGTCTGTCAGTATAAAGCATATTCTTTTGATTCATGGCAAATAAAGGGAGAGAAATTGCATAGAGTATTAACACTTAAGAAAAAAATCATTAATAAAATTTTTTTAAATACCACTCATTGAAAATCAAAGGAATGTCATTCATTCAAAAATTTATTCATTCAACAAATATTCATGTGATACCTACAACATTCTAGGCTCTGTTCTGAGAAATGAGGACATAACTATAAAAGGACTAAAAAGAAACTATGTAATTCCAATACTAGACAGGGATATGGATGGGGAGAGCCCAGGAGCCCCCGTGCATAATGGAAATATGTAGGAGGAGGCCCAATCCAGGTTCAAATGCACTCTGATAAAAACTATGGCCCTGGCAGGGTAGTTCAGTTGGTTAGTGTCATCCTGATATTCCAAGGCTGCGGGTTCAAGCTCTGGTGAGGGCATATACAAGCAGCAACTGTTGAATGCAAAATAAGCAGAGCAGCAAAATGATGCTTTATTTTCTCTCTCCCTCCCTCCCTCCCTTCTCCTCTCTCTAAAATCAATTAAAAAAAATTAGTCTGTTGCACAGTGGTTAGAACATCGGCCCACCCACCACAGGGAGGCAACCAATGAAGGTGTCTCTCTCATATCAATGTTTCTCTCTCCCCTTCCCTTCTACCCTTCCACTTTTTCTAAAAGATATCAATGGAAAAAATATCCTCAGGTGAGGATTAACAACAAAAAAATATGAACAAAGCATAATTTCAGTTGGTGAAATGACTACTGACTAAGAAGCATTTAGAAATAAGTGCTAGCCCTGGCCGGTTTGGCTCAGCGGTTAGAGCATTGGCCTGCGGTCTGGAGAGACCTGTGTTTGGTTCCTGCTAAGGGCACGTGCCTCGGTTGCAGTTTGTCCCCGGCGCTGGCTGGTTATGCGGGTGGCAGCCACTCGATGTGTCCCTTTCACGTCGATGTTTCTCTCTCTCTCCCCCCCACTTTATCTGAACAAAAGATCGAAAAATGTCCTCTGGTAAGGATAAAAAAAAAAAAAGAAGAAAGAAATAAGTGCTAAACAAATTTTATTAAAAGTGTTCACATTGGAGCCCGGCCAGTGTCGCTCAGTGGTTGAGCATCAACCCAAGCACTAAGAGGTCACCAGTTTGATTCTTGTTCAGGGCACACGTCCAGGTTGTGGGCCAAATTCCCAGTAAGGGGCATGCAGGAGGTGGCCAATCAATGTTCTCTCTCATCGATGTTTCTGTCTCTTCCTCTACCTTCCTCTCTCTCTAAATTCAATAAAGAAAAAAAAATTTGCCCTGGCCAGTTTGGCTCAGCGGTTAGAGCGTCGGCCTGCGGTCCGGAGAGACCCGGGTTCGGTTCCCGCTAAGGGCACGTACCTCGGTTGCAGTTTGTCCCCGGCCCTGGTTGGTCGTGCGGGTGGCAGCCACTCGATGTGTCCCTTCACGTCGATGTTTCTCTCTCTCCCTCCCACTCTATCTGTACAAAAAATGGAAAAATATCCTCGGGTGAGGATAAAAAAAAAAAAAAAAAAAAAAGGAAAAAAAATTTTTTTCCAATGGGGAGGAGGGTGCGGGGGGGGGGGGGTAGGGAAGACATCTGTAACAAAAATTAATTAATAAAAATTGAAAAAAAAAGTTTCACATTAAGCCCTGACTGGCTTAGCTTAGCTGTTGAATGGTCATGATTTTGATTCTCAGTCAAGGGCATGTACCTGGATTGCAGGTTCGATTACTGGTCCCAGTCAGTGTTGTGCAGAAAGCAACCAATTGATGTGTCTCTCTCACATCAATGTTTCTTCCCCCCCCAACTCCTTTTCACTCTAAAAATCAATTAAAAAATATCAAGTGAGGATTAACAAAACAAAAAAAAGTCCCACATTAATAAATATAATTAAAATTAGGATTTGTGAGTCTTTTTTAAATAGTTTTTTAAATACTCTGAGAATTACATATGCAGATTTTGGAATATTAAATAATTAACTTACTGCTATGCTATCCACATACAACTACAACTCTACTACCATGAAAAGCCAAAATGCTTCTGAGGATAGAGAAGCATATATACTACTATACCCTTGATATAGGTATAAATTGGATCAGTATTTCTAGATGGCTGTTGGGCAATGTATCACAAGCAATAAAAATGAGTAAACCTTTGACTCAAGAAGTCTACTTCTAGGAATTTATAAGTCTATGTCTAAGAAAATTGAAAAAAAAAATCAAAACACAAAAAGTTGGCTCAAATAGACCTATTTATAATAAAAGTATAGGAGAAAAAAGTATAGATACAGAACTTATGTGTCCATATAATAAATGCTTAATATTAGCATTTTAAATTTTCTCATTTAAAAACCTAAAATGCCTAACAAAAGAAATTGGTTATTTCTGAATAATCCATCATGTGCCAACATAAATTAAAAATTGTAATCATATTTATTGATATGGAAAGAGTTACGATATAAAACTAAGTGAAGAAAGCATGTTAGAAATTGGTATGTATATTTCTACTGATGTTAAAAATGTCGATCCCGCCCTGGCCAGTTTGGCTCAGCGGTTAGAACGTCGGCCTGCGGTCCGGAGAGACCCGGGTTCGGTTCCCGCTAAGGACACATACTTCGGTTGCAGTTTGTCCCCGGCCCTGGTTGGTCGTGCAAGTGGCAGCCACTCGATGTGTCCCTTCACATCGATGTTTCTCTCTCTCTCTCCCTTCCTCTCTCTCCCTCCCACTCTATCTGTACAAAAAAATGGAGAAATATCCTAGGGTGAGGATAAAAAAAAAAAAAAAGTCGATCCTAACAGTTATATAATTATACATGCATATATATGTAGTTACATACACAAACATATACACATATAAATATACAAAGATACAAAGAAAGTCTTCTTTTTTATCCTTGCCTGAGAGACACATGACTGGTTGCCACCTGCAAAACCCCAACTGGGAACAAACCGCAAGTGATGTACGAGCCCTTAGCTGAAACTAAACCCGGGACACTCTGATCCGTAGGCCGACGCTCTAACCAATGAACAAAACAGGCCAGGGCCACAAAGAAAGTCTTAATAAACCAAGCTGTTAACTGTGTTTATCAATGAGAGTAGAACTGAGTATTTTTCAATTTTTGCTTATGTTCTCTGAAGAAAGTACTGTATATTTTATAATAGGGGGAAATGATATTTTATCTTAGCTGTGTTCATCTGATTATCTAGAATTCTGTATTTAGCTAGTTAATATAGACATTTAATTGTTGTTATTGATTTTAGTTAGTATAAACAATAGCCATCTCTAGAGACTTTTCTGGGCCTCAGTTTCCTCATCTTAAAAATTAAGAGACTGTTCTGGAATAGTTAATATTTACCAACAAGTTTTTGTAATTTTCAAAATTAGTATTAAACTCCATATTGAACCAACGTATCAAGTTAGTATTTGTATTGGCGGAACATGAAAAATATAAAGTATCAGGCAGACTCATGTCAACATATTTCAGTTATTCCCAAAACATTTTAAACAAATGACTATTTTTCATAAGGGTCACAATACTTGGAAGACATGGTAACATAAGTGCCAGAAGAATTAAACATTACATAAATAAAATAATGTCTTTTGTTCACGATTGCTTATTTCTAAAACTATAGATCAGAAATCTAATCAAATGTTACAAATATTTCAAGAAGACGATCTCACCTCACAGTTCCTTCAGACACATTCGGCACTGATAATGTTACATCTAGTGAAATCTGACACTGGCTTCTTAAAATGGACATCATCCTTAAGGCTTCCACTTCACTCCGGGGAGCATTTACCGAGGCACAGCCTAAGTAAGTCAGCTTGCTGAAGACCACACTGTCCTCATCGACCACTGGTGTGAAAGGACTTGACCCTTCAGAATCTGAAAGAAATGATAATGAGATGGTTATTTTAATTTTATTTGATATTTTGTTGACATAAAAACCAAGTAAAAATGTACAAGTTATATTTAGGTTATAAAATTAAGTACTAATGAGTTAATATTCCATTGCCTCAGAAGACGTGCCCATTAAAGCCATAAATCTCACACTAGAACTGTCATACCACCAAAATTTTCAGGTAGTACTGTAGCATCAATCCCAAATCTAAAAGGTGATCTGAGATTCAGATCCGATTCACCTTTCTGATTCTTCTAACTTGTTCTGACTTTGTAGTTTACACTTAGGAGAAAGTAAAACAAAATCTTTACTACTTCACCCCTCTGTCTTCTGCTGTGAACTGTTATAATTATTTCTTTCATTCATTTTGGTCACTTTATTAAATTCTCTCAATCTCTTTGCTTTCCCTTTCCTAATAAACATTTAGAATTTTAACAGCTACTCTTCCCAATGAGCCTTTTTAATTGCCCATTTCCTCTTTCAGCTCTTTTTCACTTTGGCAACTAATCCTATAAAGCTGCAACACAGGCCTGGAACGAACATCTCTCAGCAAGCATTACTCCTTCATTTGTCCAACACTATACACAAACTCCTTCTTTCCTGAAAGAATCTTCAAACATTCTGAAGTAAGAGTCCCTAATGTCATTAAACGATTTCTCTTTCTTTGGTATAAATGGCATACATTTAAAGGGAAATCAGAATGATATATCTATTTACCTCTCACATTCCCCTAAATCTAGAATCTGGAGATTCTAGAGAATACATGGCTTTTGCTCACTCTTTATCAAATCTAGAAGAGGGTAGACACTCAAATATTAAAAACAATAACCTTCAGTTACGCAAGCAATGCAGCATTCCTAACCTCCTTGTCCAGGTTTCACTGGCAGATTCATCTCTGGTTTTTGGAGCCCTACTAATGGCACAGGGTTAATGGTGGATGAAGCTGAGAGCGGATTAGAAAGAGGCCCATCTCCTTCGCCATCCAGTTGCGACCTTTCCACAAGCTCCTTTTCACCTGGCTGGTCGTCCATTGGAGGATCCATCAGCACATCTGCCAACTCTTTTTGCAGCTGCTGCTCACTTCCATTCCCTATAATCTAAGGGTCACAAACACATGCAATCAGCTAAGTGAGAGAGAGAGGCCAGGCCTGATGCAAATGGGTCTGCATTCTAGAGAAAATCAGCATGTCTTTTGATACAAAGATATGTTCTGAATGTTTTTAAAAAATAGAATAAATCAAGATAAGCAATAAATAAGAGCTGCAGCTGCTTCTCTTCTTTTTTTTCATGAAAAAGTTTATAGTGACTTTGAGACTAATATCCAGAAATATATGTTAGTCTGTCAATGTTATTAAAAGTTTTCTACAGTGTCCTAAACTAACAACAATTAAAATACTTGTAACTTTATTGTCTGGTGAAAATAATGCTGTTATAAGAGGAATGTCTTTAGCAGCTTCTCTTATTGTTAAGGAAAAGGAAAACCGTGTTTGCTTCCAGAAGTTATCAATAGAAAAATACTTATTAGGTAATAAATTTTCACATGTATTTTACTACTCCTGCTATAAGTACGTTTCTGGTTTTTCTGAGGAAGACTTCTCTGATATGAATGAGTTCTTCAAGTTCTGAGACACCTGAATAAAGCTGGGAAGATGCATGTATAGAATGTTCCTGAGGAACAGAAGCAATCCATTTCAATAATGCCAAGTATTTTTCTGGAGTCACAATGGTTCATTATTAGTTGCTTTGCAAGGAAGCAAACAAGAGCAAAACCAAGTGAAGCCTGCCCAATGAAAACCACAAGTGACAAAACCCAGTATGGTCATTAAGTGCTTATTCAAAAAATTTTAAAGAATTTATGGAAAGGAAAGTCATGATGAAAAAATGGGGGCCGATTTGGAGGCTTTCTGAAGACTAAAACCTGACACAAAGTTAAAAGGGTTGGGGCTATGAAACTGCTGGAGAATGAGGTCTTCCCAGTCAAGTCAACACAGAAGCAGGGAAGCAAAATTCTAGTAACAGAGTTACCTCTGGGCTATCCAAGAACCCAAATCAAACATCTTTTATAATTTATAAACTTAAAGTCTGTAAATTATGATTAAGAAACAAAAAGTCTAAGTCTTTCTTGCTGACATTTTCCTAAGGAAATTGTAACATGTCAGTCAGTTCTGCCTTGGAAATAAAAGCCAGACAGATGTTAAGCCTCTGAAGTTGTGTTTTCAAAAGCACCTATAAAACAAACTAGAGCTTGGTTTCAATTAACCTTATTCTTTCAGAACTGAAGATGAATAAACAAAAGATATATCACCTGGAGTAAACAAAAGATAGCTTAATTGAACCCATCCTGTTTTCTAAGTAGTAAGAAGAAGTAACTATAGAAAGACAACTAAGCCCTGGCCAGGTAGCTCAGTTGGTTAGAGCATCATCCCGATATGCCAAGGCTGTGGGCTTGATCCCCAGTCAGAGCACAAACAAGAATCAACCAATGAACGCCTAAATAAATGGAAGAACAAATCGATGTTTCCCTCCCTCCCTCTAAAATAAAAAAAAAACAACAACAAAAAAAAACAGTTCAGAGCTTCCTGAAAACAGATGTAGGAAAGATATTAGACTCCATGTTTAAGCAATTAGTAATTATAACTGAGAAGGCTATCGTTAACACATTTTTGACCGCTCACGAGTTGTGTTTTCCTGCCCAAACGTTGCGTACCTCACACGAGTTAACTCAGGTTTGCACTTGCATTAGCTATTTCAGTTTTTGAAACTCAGGGTAATATAGGATTATTGTACTTGTGACTCTTCGCCCTGAGGGTCGAAGTTCGAAAAACAGCACACCGTTCTATATTCTTAAAGTAGGTAGGGAATGGATATCTGCTGGTTCAAATGAGTGCAACTCAGAACCTAACGTGCAGTTTGCCCAAAAACGTGCGGTCTCTAGCATACGTCTTAAGAGATCTCTATGCGGTACGCAATGTGTTAAAAGTAAACTAAATTAGAGAGAAGAAATTTTACATGCTATGAAGTGTTACTATAAGTAAACTTAAGTTTTCTACTGGATTGACTGCCTACATTGTAGTATATTCAACAATCATGAAAATATACCTAACACTGAAAGAAAATGTTTATATATTTGTCTTTTGTGTTTATACATGTTTATTTTGCATTCTTCCCTCATTTATAAAGCCTATAAACATAAGAACTGCCTTTTATTTCCTTAACTCTTCCTTAAAGGCTAAGAAAAAGTAATGTACACACACAAAAATGTTGATTTTTAAAAGCAGCTTAAAAGTAGCAACCTAACATGTCTTATTAGGTCCAATACAGTACTCAACCATTATGTTAGATCATTTGTAAACCTTCAATCCAATTTCAATATTACTATCTGTAATGTTATAATATGCATACTTAAATCAATTAAGTTTTTTTTGTTTTTTTTTTAAACAGCCTATTAATCTTCCCTAGGCCTATCAGGAAATAGTCAGCTATGCCAATCAAGGTTTCAAATGCTGGCATTCATGAGAGTCACCTGGAGAACTTGTTAAAACACAAACTGTTGGGCCCTAACAGAATTTCAAATCAGTTAAGTCTGGGTAGGCCTGATCATTTGCATTTTTAAAAAGTTTCCAGGAGATGGTGATAATACTACTGTGGACACCACACTCTAACCACCAACCTTAGATTAATCTTTCTTAACCATGACTACATAACACAATTACCAATATTACCAGGGACCATGTTAAAACTCAAACACCTGCTCCTCCCTCTGTCCCCTCACCTCCTACCCAACAACTAAATCAGCCGAAGTAGAGCCTGGGCATATGCATTTTAAAGAAACTGAACAGGTGATTTACAAAATAGATGGCAGGCTAGATTAAGCCAGCAGGCTGTAGTTTGTTGAGCCTGGTATAGATGAACAGCTTAAATGCTTATCTCTAGACTTCTTGTTATAACAGGAAATAAACCCATAATTAGTAGGGCCTTCTGTTCCCTGATATCAACAGCATTCCTAACAGATACCACCATCATCTCTAAATAAATGTAACTGCAGATAAGTAATCAAGATGCTGTGGTATTAATGAATGGGAAGACATATAGATCAAGGTAACAAAATAGAATCCAGAAAACAGACCCACATATATATGGCCAATTGTTTTCAACAAAGTTGGCAACATAATTCAAGGAAGAAAGGTAATGAAATAAATGGTGCTAGAACAATTCACTCAACACCGATACACATGCAAAAACATGAATCTCAACCAATGCTTCATATTAAAAAATTAACACAAAATGGATCACAGATCTAAATGTAAATCCTAAAACTATAAAATTTATAGAAAATAGGAGAAAATCTTTATGATTTTGGGACACAACAACGTCTTAGGACACAAAAAGTATGCATAAAGAAAAAAATTGATAAAATGGACTTTATCAAAATTATAAATGTCTGTTCAAAAGAGATACTGTTATCCTTTGAGATGGCATGGAAGGACCTGGAGAGTATTATGCTAAGCGAAACAAGCCAATCAAAAAAAAGTATCACATGATCTCACTTATTTGTGGAATATAATGAACTAAACAAACTGTTGAACAAAATTAACCCAGAGGCATGGAGGTGGGGTACAGGCTGAGAAGCCTCAAAGAAGGGGGGTTTAGGAGGGGAAGAGATAAACCACAGAACTTATATACATGTATGCATGACCAATGAACACGGACAACAGAGCTGGGGATGGGGCGGGGGGAACGGGATGGGGGGTGTCAATGGGGGAAAAATGAGAAACATTTGTAACAAAAACAAACAAACAAACAAATAAATAAAAAGGTACTGTTAAAAGAATGACAAGACAAGCCACAAACCTGGAGAAAATATTTTCAAATTATGTATCTTATACAGGATTTATATCCAGAATCTATAGAGAACTCTCATAACTCAATACTAAGAAAACAAGCAACATAGTTTAAATAAAATGGACATTTCACCAAAGATACACAAATAGCAAATAAGCACATGAAAGAAATTCAGTATCATTAGCCATTTGGAAAACTGAAACCACAATAATATGACTCTATACACCTATAAGAATGGCTAACGTTAAAACAAAACAGACCTGACAATACCAAGGGCTGGCATGGATTGGAGCAACTGAAAAACTCTCATGTATTGCTGGTGGGAAGACAAAATGGTACACTTTAGCAGTTTTTTAATAAATTTTATAAAGTTAAATATACATTTACCATATGACTCGCTCTTAGGTATTTATTGAAATACCTAATGTAATTCAGTTGAAGAAAACTAAAAACATGTCTGTACTAAGACCGGTGTGCAAATATTTATAGCAGCACTAATCATAATCACATTAAGCTAAGTAAATATAAAGTAAATATTTATCGACTGGTGAATGGATAAACAAATGGTCATATCTATACCATGGAATGTGTCACTATACAACGGAATATATCTCAGCAATAAAACGTAATAAATTACTAATACAATAACAAGGATGAATTTCAAAGGCATTATTCTAAGTAAAATAAGCTAAACACAAAAGGCTATATACTGTATGATTCCATTTATATAGTGGCATTATGGAAAAGGCAAAACTACAAGGACAGAAATCGGACAGAAATCAGACCACTGGTTGCCAGGGGTTGGGAAGGGGGAAGAGGATTGACTAAAAAGAAGCACAAAGGGACATTCTGGAGTGATGAAAATATTCTGCATTTTGAAAGTGATGGTGACAAAAGAGTTCACATTCATTCAAGAACTCAGAACTGTACATCTAAAAGGTTTGCATTTTACCGTGTATAAATGCTACTTCAATAAACTTGACTTATAATAAAATAGAACATATTAAGTGAGCTCTCCCTCCCGGGAGCATAGATGCTTTCCCTTTCCCCTCTTCTTCCCCCATAGGCCTGCATCTCCTAAACTCCATGGGATCCCAAGACTTGCAACCAGGGGAGCAATGGGCAGCGGCAGCTAATCCATGGCTAACGCTCTGAACCTATCTCCAAGGCCCCCTTTTCTCTGATTTTTCAATGAGCCAAAGCCACCTGGCCTAGTCTCTTTCCTGTTGCTTCTATCCTAGGTCCTTCCTTGTTT